TTTTTTTTTTTTTTTTTTTTTTTTGTGGTGCTGTGGGGATTAGGGATTGAACCCAGGGCCTTGTGCATGCAGGGCAAAGCTCTCCACCAACTGAGCTGTATCCCCAGCCTAGTTTTGTATTTTTCATGGGGGAGTGGGTGAGGAACTCCTCAAGCTTCCATTCTAGAATTGGATCTCTTCCCATTATTTTATTTTTTTTCTTCAAATATTTTTAGTTGTAGATGGACACAATACCTTTATTTTGTTTATTTAGTTTTATGTGGTGCTGGGGAACAAACGCAGGGCCTCACACATGCTAGGCAAGTGTTCTACCACTGAGCTACACCTCCAGCCCCATCTTCCTGATATTTTAAAAAATATATTTAAAATTAAAGACTTCATGTTTTTAGAGCAGTTTTAGTTTCACCGTGAAATGAAGAGAAAAGTCCAGAGATTTTTCCATATGACCCCTACTCAGGGTCATCTAGGTTTTTTCCTATGTTTATCTTCTAGGAATTTTATAGTTTTGTACTTTACATTTAGGTCTATGATCCATTCTGAGGCAATTTCTGTGAAGTGTACAAGTTCTTTATCTGGATTCTTGTTCTTTTGTATATGGATGCCACTTGTTTCAGCACCATTTGTTGAAGGGCCTCTCTTTGCTGCATTGTCAGGGATCTGTTGATTTTATTTATGTGATTCTTTTTCTGGGTGCTCTCTTCYGTTTTGTTGATCAATTTCTCTATTCTTTTGTCAATATCACACTATATTACTGTAACTTTATATAGTAAGTYTTAAAGTTGGGTAGTGTCAGTTCTCCAACTTTGTTCTTCTTTTTCAATATTGTATTACCTATTCTGAGCATGTTGCCTTTTCCATATACACTTTAAAATCACTTTTTTGATATCTACAAAGTAATTTGCTGGGATTTGGATTGGAATTTATCTATAGATCAAGTTGGGAAGAGCTGACATCTTGACAATATTGAACCCTCTTATCCATGAACATGGAATATGTCTAATTTTATGTGGTTCTTTAGTGTCTTTCAGCAGAGTTTTATAGTTTTCTTCATATAGATCTTGACATATTTTGTTAGATTTATGCCTCAGTATTTTAGTTTTTGGTGCTAACGTCAGTAGTCTTGTGTTTTTAATTTCAAACTCTAATTGTCCTTTGCTCATATGTAACATAGCAATTTACTTTGGTATTTCAACTATTCATCAGCTTTCTGGTGCTGTGATAAAATCCTGAGAAAATCAACACATAAGGAGGAAAGATTTGTTAGCTCATGATTTCAGAGACTTTAGTCCATGATTGTTTAGCCTTTTTACCTTTGGGACTGTGGCAAAGCTGATGTTATGGCAGAGAGTGGGTGGTAGAGCAAAACTTCTTACCTTAAGGCTGCAAGGAAGCAAAAGAGAGGAATGGGCTGAAGTTCCAATTATCCCTTTCAAGACCAGGCCCCCCACTGATCTAACTTCCTCCTGCACAACTCCACTTCCTAAGCTTTCCATCAGACCCCACTGACACCACCTTGGGACCAAACTTTTTTAACATATGGCTTTTGGGGGATATTTAARATCTAAACATAACTTTGTGTCTTACACTTGCTATTATCACATTAATTCCAGGATGTTTTATTTTTATTGATTCTTTGGGCTTTTCTACAGTCATATCATCTGTGAACAAATACAGTTTTTTWAAAATTTTCCTTTCCAGCTATATACCTTTTATTTCCTTGTCTTGCTGAATTAAGATTTCTAGTCTTAAAATGGGCATTCCCTTATCTTAGCAAAAAAGCATCTGTTTTGTTTTTTTTTTAAAGATGTTCTTTATCAACTTGAGAAAGTTTATCTCCATTCCTAGTTTACTGAGAGTTTGTTTTCTTACGAATGAGATAGGAGTTTCCCAAATATTGTTTCTGCATTATTGATATGATCATATGATATTTCTTCTTTATTCTGTTGATGTGATGGATTATATTGATATTATATTGATATAAATGTTGAGCTAACTTTGCATAACTTGAATAAATCTTAGTTATGGTGTATAATTATTTTTATACATTATTGAATCCTATTTCTAATATTTTTTGAGAATTTGCATCTATGTTTATGAGAGATATTCTAGTTTTCATTTTTTGCAATATCTTTGGTTTTGGTAATAGGGCAATACCATAGAATGAGTTAGGGAGTATTCCCTTAGTTTCTATCTTCTGAAAGATATTGTAGAGAAAAGGTATAATTTCTTTCTTGTTAGAATTCATTAGTGAATTCATGCAGGCCTGGTGTTATCTCTTTTAGAAGGTTTTATTGTTTCAATTTMTTTAATAGCCCTATTCAGATTGTCTTTCTCTTTGTGTGTGTTTTGGCAGGTTACTTCTTTTGAGGAACTAAGCCATTTCATCTAGATTATCAAATTTGTGGGCAAGGAATTTTTCATAATATTATATCCTTTTAATGTCCAGGGGACTAGCAGTCTCTTCATTTCTGACCTTAGTAATTTGTGGTTTTCTCCTTTTTCTTATTAAAGAATATTCCTAGAGGCTTATATATTTTTTGATCTTTTCAAAGAAAATGTTGGCATTTCATTAATTTTCTCAGTTAACTTCCTATTTTCAATTTCAATGATTTCTGCTCTAATTTTTATTTTTCTGCATACTTTGGGTTAATTTTTCTTTTTAATAATTTTCCAAGGTAGAAGCCTAGATTCATTAGACAATCTATTCTTAATAAATGCATTATATGCTATAAATTTCCCAGTAAAAGCTTTGCTTTCATTGTATTCCATTTTGTTGTTATGTTTCCATTTTCATGTGGTTTGGAGCATTTTAAAAATTTTCTTGAGAACTCATTGCCAAAAATTAACATAGCTACTCCAACTTTCTTTCAGTTAGGGTTAACAGGGCATATTTTCATCCCTTTAAACCCATGTCTTTCTATTAAAGTGATATATCAAGAAAATACTTCTCTTTTTATTCACTCTGACAGTGTCCTATCTTATAATTGCTATATTTAGACCATTGCCTTTAAAAGTGATTGGATTAGTATCTACCATATTTGTTACTGTTTTCTATCTGCTGCTTTTGTTGCTTCTTGTCTTCCATTCTTTTTGTACCTCTTCTTGTTTTCATAACTTTTTTCCTTTTATTATATCAAGTATGCTTCTTTTTTTCACCTTTGTACAGTGCATCAAATTTACATCAAAACCAAATCCTCTTTCAAATAATTCTATTCCAATCACTTCCTGGATAATGCAAGTACTTTTTAGCAGCGTACTCTCGTTCCTACTCAATTGTTGGTATTTGTTTCATTTATATACAAGCTATAATTTCTGAACTTATTGTTACTATTATGTTTTTTTTTTTCTGGTCATGGTGATTGAATCTGGGGCTAATGCATGCTAGGCAAGTGTCCTACTGGTGAACCACATCCCCAGCCCACTCTCATTATCTTTAAAACACTGTTATCTTTTATCAATTAAGAAAAAAACAGTTTACTTTTATTTTYGCTCTATTGCTCTTCCTTTATGTATATCAGAGTTTCTGAGTTGTACAATTTTCCTTCCTCTGAAGAACTTTCAACATTTTCTCTTAAGTCTAGTGGTGAAAAATTCCCTTGATTTCTGCCTAAGAAAGCATCTTTCTACACTTTCCAAAGACAATTTCACTGGATAGAGATTTCTAGGTTGATGGTTGTTATGTGTCTCCCATGGTATATATGTTGAAAAGCTCACCTCCAATGTGATGGTGTTAGGAGGTGGGGCCTCTGGAAGATAATTGTAATTAGGTCGTGAGGATGGAATCCTCATAAATTAGTGCTGTTATAAAAAAAGTCATGATGGGCACAAGATGGCCACTGCCTGTACCCTTGCCAGACACGGAATCTCTTGGCATCTTGATCTTAGAACTCCCACTTGGAACTGTGAGAGATAAGTTCCTGCTATTTAAGCAATTCACTCCATGGTGTTTTGTTACAGAAGCCTGAATTAAGGAGTTATTCTTTAACACTATAAATATTTCACTCGCTTTCTTGCTTACACAGATTTTGAAGAAAACCCAAAAGTAATTCTCATCTTGCTCATCTATATATGATAGGTGTTATTTTTTCCTCTGACTTCTTTCAAGATTTTACTAGGTCTTTGATTTTCTTGAGTTTGGATGACATGTAGAATTTTTGGCATTTGGGTTCTGTAAGTTTTCTGGATCCATGGTTTGTTGTCATTATTTATGAAAATTCATTCTATTCTACTACTGTTTTTTTAAATTTCTACATCTCTTTATTTTTTAGAGTTTACATCTCTCTTCTTATATTACCCATCTGTTCTTGCATGCTATCTATGAATCCAATTAGAACTCTCAGCCTATTAATTATATCTGTTTAAAATTCCTGGGGGTATCTGAGGTTTATGGTGATTAAATTTAATCTTAAAGAAGTAGAGGTTTTCCAGTAAACTACTAGGGTGAGGAGTATACCAAGCAGAGAAAATGAATAGCCTTTAAGAAAGAGAGTGGCATACTCAGAAAACTAAAAGTTAAAGTGAAGAGTGGAAAAGTGAACCTACATATTCTCCTAGGGAGAGCATCATGTCAAGTATATGTATAAAATAATAAGATTATTAGAATAACAATTATGGGTGAGGACCACGGTAAAATTGTTAAGGAAATATCCCTATATTTCTATGTTCTGAGGAACTGGTTTATTATTGTATTATTCACAAAGATACTCAACTCCATAGCTTATAATCTTAAACCCTGAAGACAACTGAAGGTTCAAGTGATAGATATTTCACTGAATAAAAAAATAAATCAAGATTTTCCTAGAGCTTACTTACCACCCCCCCATCTTTGAGAATAAGAGCAAAATTGAATTTTGAGAGCCCTTACTCATCCTGATGTCAGCTACAATAAATGCTATGGTTCAGAACATTATCCTCACTTTACCAAGCTGGAGCACTTACCTTGCAGAAGGCATCCGGGAGGAGCAGACCTCTGCTCTTTCCTAGTCAGTAAGAATAAGAATTTTGGGGTGAAAAGTAGGGGCCCCTGGGGGACAGAATACTTATCTCCAAAGCACAATCTATTTTATCCAGAAGATAACTGGATCATATGTTGAAGAAAACTCAAGAAATCTATGGTCAAGACTCTTTTAAAACACAATATTTACTTTAAATATTATAACAGACTCTTAAWTCTTCTTCAGCTACTGGAAATATTGTTGAGAACAGATCACCAACTTTGGATCTTCCTGGTTCCACTCAATCCTAATTAGGCTTGTGGCCTTCACCTTTCATGTACCTAATTTATTTAACTTTCATTCCACTTAGTCTCATCCTGTACGGGATGCCATTGTTGACCCAGGACTAATCGACTCTTTTCTCATTTGCTACATCCATCCTGACTTACCTGCTTGATCTGTTTCTCTGCATTGTCTTAAAGGAATCTCTCCCAGTGCTTGCTGCCTTATGCATGACAGAATGTGAGGTGCTGAATTTGTTCCACAGTGTCCACATGAATAAATAGCTAGAGATGTACAGCTCTAGAATGGATGTACTCATCARTTATAAGAAAAATTGTGCTTTTAATATTTTACATCTTTGCTTAACTTTGATAAGTAAAATGACTTTTAAACTATAATATATACATTTCAGTGCCATTTTTTGCCACTCTATCACCTTGTAATACCTGGTGTTTTCTTTATGACATAGCAACATACAATATATGCACTTATCTGTAATCATTTTAAGTCATGTATGTCTTATGTGGACAATTATATGATATTCTTCTGGTGRGGAGAAATGTCTTTTATATCATCAGTGATTCCAAGCATACCAATCACATAACAGAAATAAATTYAGGAAATGATGTTGACTGGTTCATTAAAGTACCTAATAGGGAGGTTAAAATTARTGATAGCACATGTCATTTCTCCCTTGAATTCTTAGTTATTTGGTGCTGTATGCATAAGTAATTCTGGAAGAAATCAAAAGTTCTGAATTTTGTTTTTTCATGCTGACAAAAATTAAATATAAATATTTTTAGAGTTTTWAAATTTTCTATATTTTCTCTAGATTTTTAAAAAATATCTGGTAGATGTTTCCATTAAATAATATGGGATATCTTGAATTTGTAGTTTAGCATCTGCATGTGCCTGTAAAGAGGGAGGTATAGTGAAGGAAGGCTTGTCTTGTTTTCTTTTTACTATGTCAGCAATGTCATCTTTCATCCAGTTTTCAGAGCAAGAAAACAGAGAGATTAATTGTCTCTTTGGAACCTCAGGTGGAAGGTGAGTTGTCTGTCATTCTGATGCGGTTGCTCCTCCTTGGTTTTGGGGAGATGAGGAACTATCTGCTTAGAGCTCTGCAGTTTGGATTCTTCATCTTGAAGACTCTTATCTTTTATATTTGCAACCACTTCAAAGCTTGAGGCAGCAGTCTCCCATTTGCTGTTTAGAAGGTTCATGTCTTCAGTCTTTGTGGCCCAGAGAACATGTTTTTTCCTCTTCTTGGTGCCTTTGAGAGGTGTCAAACTTTCAAGTGACCTTTGGGGCACAGACTGGAACCATTCTGAGGCATCTGTCCTAAGATTCCTTTGGGTTACAAAAGGAGGGTTTCTGGGTGGCGTCCAAGATGAGTTGTATTTCTTTATATTTATGCAAGTAGCTGKCTTTGATCTAGAAAAGAAATTAAATATGTGAATTTTTGCTGGACATGTACCCACTTTATAGACTACAAAATCAAGGTAGAGATCCTCATATTGCAAGAGGGAAATTTTTTTTCGAGAGAGGGAGATCTTGTAAATTATTCATGGTAGCCATGTCATTTCTCTCAGGTTTTCTAACCACAAACTTTTAACTACATTTTACTTAAACTTTCTAATTTGTTTTGGTAGTGCCGGGGATTGAACCCAGGGCCTTATACATGGTAGGTAAGCACTCTACCACTGAGCTATAATCTCAGCTCCTAAACTTTTAAATTTTGAGTAATTGTACACTAATATGCATTTGGGAGAAATAATAAAGATTCCACGTACTCTTCACCCAGTTTCTTCTAAACGTAACATTTTGCAAAACCATAGTACAATACCATAGCCTGGATATTGACATTGTTGTGGTCAAGATACAAAACTGTGGCCTCACATTGCTGTGTTTAGTGCTGACTTCCCTCCTTGCCCATCCCCTCCTTAATTCCTGGCAGCCATTAATCTATCATCCCAATTATCTAGTCTTATTTCAAGAATGTTATATAAATGGAATCACAAAGTATGTGACCTTCTGAATTAGCTTTAGTTTGTGTAGTTCTCTTTGGTTATCCATCCAGGATACCTTGCACATCATTAGTTTATTCCTTGTTACTACTGAGTAGTTGTCCTTGGCACAGATGTACTACAGCTTAATGATTCATCATTGAAGAACGTGGATTATTTCCAATTTATGGCTGTTACAAATAAAGCTGCATAAACATTTGTGTACAGGTTTTTGTGTGAATTTAAGCCTTTGTTTCACTGGGGTTAATTTCCAGGAGAGTAATTGCTGGGTAAAATGGTAGTTATATATTTAATTTTTAAAGAAACTGCCAAACTGTTTTCCAGAGTGCCCATTTTATGTTACCACCAGCAATATATGAGTAATCCAATTTCTCTACATTTGGTGTGGTGCTTTTTTTGCRGGGGCAGGAGCAGGGGTGCTGGGGACTGAACCCATACAGGGCCTCATACATGTTAGGCAAGTGCTGTGACACTGAGCATTCTCAGCCCTGTTGCTTTGTTTATTTCAAAGATGTGCAGTGCTAGGTCATTATGTATTTAATTTGCATTTCTAATGGCTAGTTGAACATCTTTTCATGTGGTTACGTGTCACCTGTGTATTTTGTATGGTGAAATGTCTATTCATGTCTTTTTCATTTTTCTAAATGAAAAGTTTATTTTAAAACTTTTGAAAATGCTTTAATTTTGAAATTTTGAAAATTCTTTAATCCAGAGAGAAGTATTTTGATCATATGGTTTGCCATTTCTTTATAGCCTGTTTTTTAATACTTTCAACATAGTCTTTTACAGAACATTTCATTTTGATAAAGCCCAATTTACTGATATGTCATTTTATGAATCATGTTTTTGGTGTCAAGTCTAAGAACTCTGCTCAACCTTAGTTCCTGAAGATTTTCTATTTTTTTCCTAAAAGGTTTGTAGTCCTATGTTGTACACTTAAGGTCATAATCTATTTTGAATTAATCTTTGTACTATGAATTTAAGTTTCACTTTTTGACCTACTGAAGTCCAATTATCTCAATATTGTTTTTTGAAAAGACCTTCTTCCTCTGTTGAATTGCTTTTTCTTTCTTTTCTTTTTTTTTTTTTTTTTTTGGTTCCAGGGATTGAACCCAGGGGCACTTAATCACTGAGTCACATTCCCATTCCTTTTTATATTTTATTTAGAAACAGGTTCTTGCAGAGTTGCTTCAGGGCCTTGCTTTTGCTGAGGCTGTCTTTGAACTTGTGATCCTTCTGTCTCAGCCTTCTGACTTTGGCATTTTTATAGAATCAGTTATAGGTTTATTTCTAGGTTCTTTACCCTGTTCTATTGATGTATATCTATTCATCCTCCAATAGTACATTGTATTACTGTAGATATATAAAAGATCTTGAAATCAGGCTGATTCCTCCCACTTACCCTTTGCCAAAATCGTTTTTGCTATTTTAATGCCTTTGTGAAAAAGTCTTGTTGGGATTTTGAAAAGAATTGTGTAAAACATGGATATCAATTTGGGAAGAGCTGTCATCTTTATTCATTGAATCTTTCAATCCAGGAACATGCCGTTTTTTCCCCATTCTCTTAGATCTTTGATTTCTCCTATTCATGTTGTGTAGTTTTCAACATACAAGTCTTACACTTATTTAGTAAATTTTCAACTATGTATTTCATTTTTATGAGATATTGAAAATTGTATAATATTTGTAATTTTGATGTACACAGTTCATTGCTTACATATAGAAATATATGTTTTGTATGTTTATCTTATATTCTGAAGTCTAGAAGAACTTGCTTATTAGTTCCAGGAGTTTTGTTTTGCAATAGACTTCTTGAGACTTGTTTTTAGAGAATAACATAATTAAAAAGGGACCATGTTATTCCTTTTATTTTGATCTGTATGCTTTGTTTCTTTTACAATGGCTAGAACATCTAGTACATTGTTGGATAAGAATGGTGAAAATGGACTATGACAAGTTCTCTATTCCTATTTTTCTCTGAGAATTTTTATCATGATTTTTTTTGTCATTTTGTCAATTTTTTTTCTGTGCCAATTAACATGATCATGTGGGTTTTGATCGTCAGCCTGCTAATATGGCAGATTACCTTGATTTTGTGTGTGTGTGTGTGTGTGTGTGTGTGTGTGTGTTTGGTACTGAGGCCCTTGTGTCTGCTAGGCAAGCATTTCACTACTGAGCTATATCCCCAGGCCTTTTAATTTTATTTTGAGACATGATCTTGCTTAGTTTCCCAGGCTGGCCTTGAACTTGCAATCATTTTATCTCAGCTTCCTGAGTAATTGGCATTGCAGATGTGTACTTGATTTTTAAAAATATTGAACCATCCTTGAATTCCTGAAGTGGATCACACTACCAAGGTGTGTATAATTCTTTTTAAATTTAACACTGTGTTCTATTTACTAATTTTTGTTAAAGATTTTCTAATATACATCTATGAGTGAGCTCATTCAATATCTTTCCTTATTTTTACTGTCTTTGGTTTTGGTATCAGGCCAATGGGTAGCTTCATGAAATGAACAGAGACCTACTTTTCTATTTTCTGGAAAAAAATTTTGTAAAATTGGTATTAATTCTTCTTTAAGTACTTGATGAAATTTTCTTGTGAAACCATCTGGGCCAGGAGATTCTTTTTTTTTTTTTTAGGAGTTTAAAATTATGAATTCAATTTCTGTAATAGTTAAAAGGCATTCAAATATTCTATTCCATATTGAGTGAGTTGTGAGGTGGGGGAGAGAGGAAGGAAGGGAAAGAGTGTATTGAGGAGTTGATCTATTTTCTGTAAATTGTTAAATTTGTATCTGTATTGTTTTCAACTATCTTTTGATCTTTAGTGATATTCCTTGTTTCATTCCTACTTAGTAATTTGTTTTTTCCTTATTTGACAGTCTTGATAGAAGGTTGTTAATTTTACCTATCTTGTAAAGAACTAGTTATTTCACTGATATTCTGTCATTTTTCTGTTTTTGATTTTCACTCTTATTTTTATTATTACCTTTCTTTTTATTTGATCTTTTTTTTTTAAAAAAGTTCTTGACAAAATCAGGCATTTGCAGGGAAATGGATGGCATTAGAGCAGATTATGCTAAGTGAAGCTAGCCAATCCCTAAAAAACAAATGCCAAATGTCTTCTTTGATATAAGGAGAGCAACTAAGAACAGAGCAGGGAGGAAGAGCATGAGAAGAAGATTAACATTAAACAGGGACGAGAGGTGGGAGGGAAAGGGAGAGAGAAGGGAAATTGCATGGAAATGGAAGGAGACCCTCATTGTTATACAAAATTACATATAAGAGGAAGTGAGGGGAAAGGGAAAAAAAACAAAGGAGAGAAATGAATTACAGTAGATGGGGTAGAGAGAGAAGATGGGAGGGGAGGGGAGGGGAGGGGAGCGGAGATAGTAGAGGATAGGAAAGGCAACAGAATACAACAGACACTAGTATGGCAGTATGTAAAAACGTGGATGTGTAACCAATGTGATTCTGCAATCTGTATACGGGGTAAAAATGGAAGTTCATAACCCACTTGAATCAAATGTATGAAATATGGTATGTCAAGAGCTATGTAATGTTTTGAACAACTAATAATAGAAAGGAAAAAAAGTTCTTGAGGTGGGGAGCTTAGATTATTGATTTGAATTTTTTCTTCTTTTTTGCATATGCATTTATTTCTATAAATTTCCATTTCAGTACTGCTTTAGTTACATCCCACAAGTTTTGATATATTGAGGTTTCATTTTCATGCATTTCAATATATACTTTTATTCCTTTTGAGGCTGTCTTCATATCATGAATTATTCAGAAGTGTGTTGTTCATTKTTCAAATATTTGGGTGTCTTGTCTGTGTTCTGTTTGATATTGATTTCTAGTTTGATTCCATTGTGGTCACAGATTATACTTTGTATTGTTTAAATTATCTTCAATTTTTTGAAGTTTGTTTTATGACCAGTTTTGGTCTATCTTGGTATAATCTCTGTGTACACTTGAAAAGAATGTGTATTATGCTRTTGTTGGGTGGAATGCTAATTACTAATTAAGTATTTTTTTGTTGTTGTTGAATTCCTTAATATCCTTATTTCCCATTTACTTGTTGAATAAATAGTGGATTTGCTTATGTCTCTTTCCAGTTTTTGCTTTACATATTTTGTAATCAGTTTGTAATTTTAAGCAAACACATGTAAGATTGCTGTGTGTTCTTAGTGAATTGTTACTCATTATATAATGTGCCTCTCTGATAATTTTCTTTTGAGATCTGCTTTATTGAATACTAATATAGTTACTCCTTTCATTTATTAATGTTTGCATGATATGTCTTTTTCCATCTTTTTAACATTTTGTCTACATTGTCATACTTGAAATGAGTTTCAAGTGAACTATGTATCATTGAGTAATGTTTTTAGATCTATTCTGCCA